TATGCAGTAACTTTAGTCATATAAAATGTAATTTTCCAGCAACAAAATTGTGGCCAGTGAAAATGCTGAGTGGCTAGTAATTTTGGAACACCACTAGCCACAGTGGCTGGTGAGCAAAAGAGTTCATGTCAAGCCCTGTATACAGTGAATACTTGTATTTATACTTGTAATGCAGTAAAAAATGTGTGTTTAACCGGAGTACGGTGGTGGGGGTGCTTGACATGTGTTAAACACTAGAAAGGGGTGCACGCTGCAAAAAGTTTGGGAACCACTGATCTAAATGAAAAAGAAACTGTGCACTTTACCTTTAAATGTTTTAATGGCATATTAGTAAACTCAAGCGTCCTTTTCTTGATGACAGGAATACCGAGACATAATTTAGTCCGAGCCTTTGAGATGTCTGATGCAGTGCATATTTTTTTCTTTTGGGCTTTTTAATGTTGACATTGAAAGGTTACATCTGGACCCCATTACTTTGTCCCACAGCCTTTGATAATTACACTTTCTTTTTATTTATTTTTTACATTACCCTAATGACAGCTGTTGTTGCCAGAATGCCCAATGACTAGTTATTTCTGAGACCCTGGAGAGGAAACGTCATCATGACAAGTTGCAGTCTTGTCCCCTATCATATTGTGACAGAGAGAAATTGTTGGCTTTAATTACTTCGGTTCTGTTCTAAAAGCATCCCGTTGATTTGAATCCCATTTTTGGCACTGTAATGGGAATTTCAGATGTAATGTCTGTTGATAAGAGCCCAGCAGCATATTCAAGGGGAGACAAACAGGCAGATTCTCTCGCCTGTTCTCATATCTATTTATTCTCTCTCTGCCTCTGACAAATTTCTTGCGTGCAGATAATGACTAGAGCAGGCAGGCTGCTTCTGCAGCTCAGCGGTCATGATTTTCAGACAGGCCGCTGAATCTCCTTGGCTCTTTCATGGTGGTTGGGCTGTAATTTTGCCAAGTACGTGTGCTGAATGCTGATGCGCTCCGGTCGAACTTTGCCTCTGCGGCAGCTCGCAACAGTGGCAACTCGAGTCATTTTCAGTCAGCTAATACAAGCGTTATTGGCTTCTCTTTGGCTAATGATAGAAAAGCCCTCTGTGGCAGCTACATCTCAAGCACATTGTGCTCTCTATTCACTTTCAGTATGAATAACCATGTAAGAGGCCTAGCTAAGTGTTAAGTGAATTTGAATTTTGACTAGTGAAACATGAGAACTTTAAGGGTTCATATGATGCGATTTCAAGTTTTCCTTTCTCTTTGGAGTGTTACAAGCTGTTCGTGAATAGATAAGATCCCTAAAGTTGCAAAGACTAAAGTCTCAAACCCAAAGAGATATTCTTTATAAAAGTTAAGACTCGTCCACGCCCTCCTAAAACGCCTCGTTCAAACACGCCCCCACATGTCTACGTCACAATGTGGGAAGATTTGCATAACGCCGCCCAAATGTTCACGCAAAGAAAGAAGGCGTAACTTCATTGTTGCTGCAGCCGCCGCCATGTTGTGAAGACACTGTGTGTTTCGTTGTGAAAGCGAAAATACTTTGTTCGGCCTTCCAAAAGAGGACACGACTAGAAATCAGTGGTTAAGTTGTATTTACAACACTGTTCCAGAACAGTTCAACCCAAATATTCAGATGTGTGCAGCGCATTTTATGGAGGA